TATATATATATATTGTATTAAAAATATACGATTATAAAAATACTAATAATATATTAAAGCGCTTCATTGATTTATAATAAAATGCATGCTATTATAATGAAACTTATATACGGCGAATTAATGTTTGTATTACAAATTGTTATTAGAAATATTTCAGTCATTGAATAAATTACTGTAATTAACTTACTTTATTTCATTATATACTTATAGTCGATCCACTTATAGATCTACTTATATCTACTTATTATATCTACTTATATGTATATATATCTATTCACAGCAATCTATTTCTTGTGCCTTGAGGGTATAATATAAAATTAAAGTGCAAAATGGATTCTCTCAATAAATGTCTTTATTATTAATTTTACATACAAATAATACAATTGATATTAAAATTGTGCAACGCCCAAAATCAAGAAAAATTAGAACAGAAATTGGAAAATGAAAAGCAAAGTTATTAGAGTAATACAATCAAGACGAACGTAAAATTACAGAAACAATTGGCGAAAAAGCTTCTTAATTAAGCGACCAGAATTTTTAAAATATATGAAAAGCAGAAAGCAGCAATTTTCTCAACGCTTAATTAACATCAACAATTATTTGAAAAAGAGCAAGAAAAGGTTACCAAGCTTGAGAGAGAATTAATGAAGTGAGAGATTAGATATTTCTATGTATTTAGGAAATATTCGATATCATTCCATAGCAAGCGTTAAAAAACGCAGAAAAGTCACGGTAGATGGAAGAATTGATAGCTTCTCTATAAACAAAGGTAAGATAACTGGACAATATTTGGAAGAGGGACGCAACTAAGCTCAAAAATTTAAAACAAAAAGGACCAGTTTAGATATGAAAATGTGGCTGTGGGAAAAGCGAGGTGGTAATTGTAATCTTGAGGAATTATGAGGCGGGGTAAAGGAATTGAAGATCAACTGTTTAAGAATTTCATTGTGCAATACAAAAACGATCTTGCCGAACAGGACAGATTGCTTAAACAGAAAAGCCTACTGTTAGAAAAGAAGTCAAACATATAATCAATCAGTGCGAAAACAACTATAAATATTCACTGCCTAATAATCCTTCGACTTTAACTTCGTTGACGAATTATCTATATTATTGCCATTTACGGGTCAGAAAGTATTGTAAGAGATGGAAAAATTAACGGAATCTATCTGGGATTCAAATTCGGAATCCTTCATTTACGAATCGTAACTTTAATTTGTGTGACAGTTTCTCATCGTTAATTATTTATGTTTCTAATCTCTTACTATCAGAGGGCTACTTTGGCTTGTATGATTATCCACTAAATTAATTTTTTCCGCTAACTTCTAATTAATTTATTTACAGTATTTGTATTTTGTGTTCAAAGTACAATGAAGTATGATGACACCTATAATTGCGAATCAAATAAAGAAAGGGTTGAGTTTGAATTCATCATTAGACGGAGATGAAAATTAAGAATCTTATAAAGAAACTGAGAGATAATAAATTAAAACAGCAGAAGTATACAAATGATACATTGACGTTTTATAAAAATTTAAATGATTATCAATGATGCTTTTTTTGCATTTTACTATGTCGTGAGATATCTCTGTCTTTATCTTCGTCTTTAATTTGTCTTTTTCTATGATAACGATTTTTATCTTTATGTTTGCCATCCATCTTATATTTATATTTATGCTTGTCACTTTGTTTTCCTTTATGTTTGTGACTCTTATAAATATATTTTTCTTTAAAATCAAGTTTCTTTCTCTTCTTTCTGTCTTTTCTTGAATGGATATCTTCTGAATTAATACTATTACTACTACTATTATTACTGTTGTTGCTGCTGCTATTACTACTATCGCTACTGCTGTCGTTATCACTATTATCATTACTGCTATTACTGCTAGTATCATTGCTGGTATTAGATTTTCTATTACTGCTCTTCTTTTTCTTCAATTTCCTTTTTTCTTTTTTACGATTCTTCTTTTCCAATAATTCTAATTTCCTATAATTATGAAAATAAACAATTTTCATGCTTAATTTTCAACTCTTAGATATTCTTTTTCAATAATAAAAACATAAATTATACACAATATAATATAGTTCAAGTGACTTACAATAATAATTTTTTCTTTTCCTTCTTTGATAGAGATTTTAAAAATGATAATTCTGATTGATCCTCATCTTCAGAGACCATAAGATGTTCATGTTCTGGAACTCGTAAATGTTGCTGTGCATCCAATGCAGATCTACAAAAAGATTTAAAAATTATTTCCAACATATATCGAGATATATTCTAATATATTTTAATTTACTTTTATGAGATCTTTTTTAAACGTTCCGTGAATTATATATACCACACACAATTATATATATGTACACATGTGCGCGCATACACACACAAATAGAAATAAACATTTAAATGTACTTTTTCAGAGCCAGACCATCCTCCCGCATTTGTTGCACAAGTGTCATAGTATCTGGGGCAGATGGTGTTTGCGAATTATTTGCCATTACAACACTCATTGCTTGACTGTACAAGGGACATTCTTTATCTAAAAAATATTTTATATTTAATATTAATTTTCTATTACATACATCCATACCTCACTAGATATATCTTTAAAATACCTGTGTTTATGTGCCCCCATTTATGACATTTGATACACCGTACATTTCTCACTTGTATGCCAAAGGGTTGATCTCGAATTTCGCTATCTCCTTTGCAATAGCTTTCTCTTGGTGCATTATATTTTCGCTGCCACTCAAATTTATATTCAGGCTCATTATCTTCCTTTTCTCGTTCTTTTTTTGCTCCAGGAGGTGGTTCGTACATGAAGTTGACACTAAGTTTATCCTTACTTTCTTTGCTAAGAAGCGCTCTGAAAGATACTTTGCATTAAAAATTGCTTATATAGCATTTTGAAGTTACTTACTTATTATTATGAAGATCTTGTTCCTTCTCGTACTGCACTCGTAGTTCCTCTTGTTTCTTCTTATAAGCTTCTGCTTGTTGTTCTGCCATCCATACCTAATGTAACAATGTATATTTAATAAAATGGTTTTATTTGTTGTAAGATTACTCAAATGTAATGTAAATATATCTGTATTTTTTCAAAATGGCTAAATCCAAAAAGTTACATTTAAAGGTTATTTTTTTTTCTTTATGTTCATATCTATATTAAAAATAATATAAAAATCTATGTAAAATTTATTTTTAATAAATATAAATTTATAAATTTAATATAAATATAAATTTAATAAATATAAATATAAATTTATTTTTAAATGTTCTCTTTGAAAATACAAATATTGTATATGATTTTTTCAAATATATAATAAAGAAACTAAAGATAATTATCATAAACAGAGGTTAAATCGAGTATTCGTACTCTCTTCAAATTATCTCGTGATGCCGGATGAAAAAATTTCTTGCACATGTAATTGTTAAATCCTTTTCCCATTTTTAAAAATCTTCCCTCAAAATTTCAGGCAGCAATCTTATAAATACAATCGTAACACTCGATATGAAAGATATTTATTAAGAAATATTCGCGCATTGATCTCTACAGGTCACTATTTTATCTACTATCAACTAAATTTTTTTTCTTGTGTTGCATGCGCTGATTACGTTTCATTTTAAAAGAGCAATTGCAACATGGCGTAGCCAATCATACGTTACCTCGTTTTTTCTATTTGTGGACACTACTCTCGCTTAAAATAGGATTTGAAATCAATGTAGCCAATAGCACAATGACGTTTTCACCATGGCTTTGACAGATACGGAAGAAGATCGAGATTAAAAAGATTGTAATTTTTAATTCAGAAATGATTTTTTTGCTATAGTATTGTTGCTGCATACGAATACGGCAAGAGGAATATGTATACGAACAATGATCAGGTACTCGTAATGTTTTGTCAGCTCTGTTACAAAAAATATAATAGTATGCATGCGATACTTGGATGTTTTCATAATTGCATCACGGTGCATCAATGCTCTTTATCGATGATATGTCAAAAGTTTTTACATCATTTTTTCCAATTTTTGATTTAAAGAAAACACAGTACGCTTCGTGATATGATCTGAAAGAAGGGTGTATCTTTTGCCTCTTACAAATTACAACGTAATCTAATGTGTCATCATCACCATCTATTGCGAGATTGAATCGTGAGATATCAAAAAATTGGGAAGTTATAGATCGGATAAGAATTTGTTGCTAAAAGCCATGAAAATTAATGAGAAAAATATGGTAGCGTTTGCGACTTCCGCAACGCCGGTAGACCGCGAAGGTTGGTTGAATAAACGCGGAGAGATAAATCGGGGTTATCAAAGACGGTGGTTTGTTCTCAAAGGAAATATACTATTCTATTTTGATCGCCGCGGTGATAAAGAACCAGTGGGCATGATTGTACTCGAGGGCTGTACAATTGAGCTAGCGGAAGACGAAGAACAGTTTGGTTTTAAAATAGTTTTTCATGGGCCAAACAACAGAAGTTATGTCTTAGCAGCAGAGTCTCAGGTAAGTGAATATTTATACTACCCAAATAAGAAGGGAGGGTGTGCGTCACGACGAGGCCCGACCACGAACCAGTCGTGAAAACTCGTAATTATTTTTGCGAAAAAATACCACCTCAGCCAGGAATCAAACCTGGATCTCCTGCTTACCGGGCAGGCATCTTATCCTTTTGACTACCGAGGCATGTGATGATATTTATCGCAATAACATGTTTAGAACAACAAGTCAACAATACAATGACATACACACATATACATATATTACAATATACATATATATATGTATATTTTCTCGAATTCCCATGACCGGTACTCCAGAAAGATGATGGTCCTATTCTCTCGATGGATGCAGGTCGGACTGCAGCGGCGACACCCTCCAACGCCATTGGCAAATATACAAATAATCCTCCTGGAGCACAACAGGAGAGATGAAGGGAGCTTGCATCAAGCATGACTCAAGCTCCCTTTTTGTAATAATTTATATTTATGGTTAGTGAAGATATTTGTAACAAAGGATAATAATATATAGGAATCCATGGAACAATGGATGAAGGCATTGGCATGTGCCAGTTATGATTATATGAAACTTATGGTGACAGAATTACAACGTCAATTGGATGCTGTAGAGGAAGAAACAGCATCCACACCGATTCAACAGTCTCCTAAGGCACCACCAAGACAGCGGCATAATCCATTCAACAGACCAGATTCTCATCATCGTTCTCAGAGTGTCAGATCAGCACCTGCTAGAACAGAGAACATACCTAGAACTAGAATAACTTTTCGTGAACTTCATACAGCATATGGCAGGCGAATCTTGGCAGATCTGAATGCATGGAGGCATGCAAAGAAAAATGCAGAGGCACCCCTAATAACTTTATAACTTTGCATATGTATCATTTAATTATTGTTGATATTATGTATATAATCAACTAGAGTTACTGACTCAAAAAGGTCAGCTATTTGTTAAGGAGTGCAAGAAACTAATAGAAATATTTCTATTATAATCTATAATATATTGTATACGGTCTGTATGTGTGCATGGTGTGTAGTGTGCGCGCGCGTGTGTGAGAGAGAGAGAGAGAGAGCTCGGGTGTGACAAAAAATAATATAAAATAATTTATTTAGATAAAAGAGATTTATAAACGATACAATTCTTCACTTGTTATTTCATATCTGTAATTTTTTTTATAATAATTTTTTAATTGGAACACACTACATTATTATATCTACATTACTACATAACTATGTTACACTGAGATTATGATAGATTATTATAATAGATAAGAGAGGTAATAAAAGGTAATGATAAAAATAAATATTAATAATTACAACAGAAGTATGAGTTACAAACTCATATATTTTTTTAGAAATTATATATGAGGTATTCCTTTGTCATTATCATGATATGGAAAAATAAAAAAAATGCAATGTTTAATTTTGAAAAAAAATGTCTACATGATGCGCGCGCAGTAACTTAAAATCCTCCTATTCATTCAAGGCCGCGGTCCGATTCACGCTCAAAGCACTATTGGCGTCATTCTACCTTATTTTACGTCTAACAATACGTCTGAACAATAAAGATAGAATGACATCAGAAACGAAAAAAAATAAGCGAAAAAATTCTCGCAAGACATATTAAAATGGAAGTATTTTCAATAAAGTAAAATCGATAGACATAACTTGTAAAATATACCGAAAACTCTCCTTTTGTTAATTAACTCTAGCTCACTATATTATTTTTAATTACCTTCCCTGTCACCGGGGTTTGTGGAACTCCGTAACTTTGTCACACTATATCTCTGAACTGAAGGCATATTTTTTAGCTCACACATGTGAAATCGATACTTCAAAGTAAGACAAAGATAGATAATCAAAAATCAAATCTAAAATATTTTATTTTCAAGTAATTATAATGGTTTAAAGAAATTTCATTGCAAGAAGTTATAGCAATATGAAAAATCGCACGGATACATCGTACTCCGATATGGCAACCTATTATTAATAAATAACTATATATCTAAAAATGAATTATGTATAACCAAAAACGAAATGCGCTAAAAAAAATTCACAGCTATAACTGCCAATACAATAGAAATAAATGACTTAAACAAATGACAAACAGACTTAAATAAATGACTTTCCTTCCTGAAACAAAAAGACAATTTTTGGTATATTTTATATGTTTATTCTATTATAGATGTTGTTTTATTGAAAAATACTTTTATCTAAATATATTTTGTAAAAATTTTTATGTACGATGTGTTTTCTCATTTCTGATGTCATAAATGTCTGAAATAGTAATAGATTGATGAGTAAACAGAAACCTTAAAAATTATTTGTATGATTCAATATGATGAAAAACAAGTATCTTACTAAATAAACGTAACACATTTATCAATACCCCAACAAATAAATTATTACGGTGCACAAGTGGAGAGATACATTACTTAATTACTTAAATTTAAATACACTTTTTTTTCTCGCATCTCCGGGAAGATGTCTGGTACCTAATAAAAGACGAGCTTTGTCTTCCTCTTGCGGCGCGGATTCCTCGGGTGGTCCCCTTGGTTTTATTTGCAATTTTTGTTTAATAGCTTGGCTCAGTATTACACGTCTGGAGTCGCTCTTCATAGCCAAAAGCAAATCGAGCCATGTCCACGTGACGTTATGATACTCCAAAGTCGGTATGACAAGAGCAAAGTCACGCACATCTTCAAGATTCTTTTCTTTGTTTCCCTATAAGGATAACGTTGGATTTTAAAGAATAATTTAAGAATGAAAAAAAAAAGAACATTTCATTAATTTCATTCAATTAATTCTTTTTCAGTACTAGTTATTACTACCTTATACGATACGCGAACAGGTACTTCTGGTATTTTAATATATATGAATAATTTATTTTTGTCCGCTCTTTCCTTCATTTTTCTACATCGTCTCTTCTCTCGATGGGTACATAAAAAGATGAATCACGCTGTGGCGCCGGTGCTTCCTCTATGCCTTCCGGATCTCTCTCGGGGAAACAAAATTTAAGCATAGTATTGAAAAACTTTTTTGTCAAACCTGAAAAAAAAATGAAATGATCTAATGTGACATATAATGTGACGAATAGAAAAGAAACTCTCTATCATATTCGATACAAATTGATATTCGTTTACCTATCGTAAGAGGTACTACGTTAATCTCAAAATGTTCCTTTACGGATATCCCAGCCACCGGTGCTTTTTCCCTGCAAAAAACACGAAGAGCTCTTTGTCGATCTACAGGCATGTTGCTCTGTAATTCTGTAGGTACAAGTACTTCCGTATAAATCTGATTTGGCAATAAATTCGTCATTCGGACATATCCGAGCTCCAACAAGTGTTCCACCGAATCATCGGTCTTGCTAGTTTTCGTATAAAGAAAATTGGTGAGAATAAGATCGGCGATACCCAGCTGACCGTCCGCGTCTGTCAGTCTCCATTGTGCATGCTTAAAGCAAATCTCGGCTACTCTAGCCACTGCGGCCGGTTTGTCCTTCAGCGTGGTCGATGCGGCTGCTGGCGCGGTAGTTTCTTTATAACAATTCAACATGACGTCCAATTCTTCCGCTTTGGCGCCAAGTTGTTCTTTACATTCGAATACGCTCGCCTCCAAGCGTTCCATTTCCGTGAGTAATTCCGGATTGGATTCGTCGGCCAGCGCTTTTTGCACCAAATACGTCTCTCGTTCCAAGCGTCTCAATTTCGCTACCAAACCGCGCACTGTGTTTTGTAATTGCTGTATCGGTCTCTTTTGATCCTCAATGGAATGCAACTGCAACTGGAATCTCATTCTTTGCAATCTTTCTGAAGCTTCCTTTCGCCTTGGTTCCACATACAGCAGCAAATTATTGACTATATCCAGGATCATCGCGTATTGCAACGAATTGGTACATACATCCAAATCGTGATGCATCAACGTAAACGCGTCGGCCGCGGTCAAGTCTTTTCTTTCCCATGGGCTAACCTCTTCTCTAGGTGGAGGAGGTACTTGATCTACAGAGCCCACATCTAAAGTCTGACCATAACCGACATAAAAGAACTCGCACTTGCAACGAGACACTATGCGTTGCAATTGATGTTGAGGGCCGCCACCTCCTCCCACTGTCTGACTGACCACTCCGCCGACGCTTTGACCGGATCCTACCAGAGCCGGAACGTCCGGCAGGCCGGCTATAATAGTAGAATCTTTCTCCTAAAACATACAGCATGGTAATATGAGTATATACAGTGTATACAGTGAGACAGAGCGTAAGGTTTACGTGATACTTTTCTTATTTTGACAAAGACATACTTGTATGTTATCCAATGTCAGCCACATAATATTGTCATCGATATTATCGTCAATGTTCGCGCTTACGGTAGCATAATATTGCATACATTCTAATGAGCCGACCCAAGTCGTTTTCGGAACGAGAGATCGCTCTTTCCAAACCGGATGATGAACTCTCTGCAATATTTCTGCTTTGGCTGCCGAGAGAATCACATAGCCGCGGGTTTCAATGCCTTTCAACAGCACTTGACTGTTTACCAAAGCGACTGAAAAGAAAATTTCATCTATCAAACACATATTCCGTCCTTCACACTTCATGTAAATTTAATATTATGTATTAGCATTTACTAGCAGCAAAATATACGCGACGTTACATACTTAGCCAGTTTTTATGTAAGACATCATCCTGATGGCAAGCTGCTAACCCACGTAATTGTTGTCCCCTAGTTTGCACCGACAAATCATCGCTGAAAGCCACGGGTTTATTGGCGGCCTCTGCTATTAGTCTTTGCAACATTCCTGCCGCCTCACCTTGCTGTGGTTTCACGGAGGACGATGGCGTTACGACCTGCGTAGGAGTGCTCTGTTGATCGACCACGGTCGATCTGGTAGCACGGTTCTTATGCGGATTGAGCATCGAGCTGTTGTCCCTGTGAAAACCTTTGAGGGCCGCAGTCGACAGGTTCTTTTTCAGCTGCTGAGTTTTGATGAACGAGTCGAAGAGGGCAAAGGCAACGTCACGATTGGTCTTGGTCCAGGCGCCGCGTAGATCATGCACAACCAATCGATGGATCGGCGTGTCACCACTCACTCCGGCAACCATCGCTTCCCTGCCGTAACTGACGCGTGCCACGCTCAAGCAGTAACATTTTTCGACCGGTTGACGTAGAGACGCGCTTTCTACTTCATCCTCTTGCAGTGCGCTCTTGAGCCAGATCTCAGCGTCACTAAGTTCACAATTCATGTACACGATGGACCATTCCGCTCGTGGTCGATGTATCAGTCCATCATCGATCGGATGCAATGCAAGATTGTGCTCCGAGCTACAGGCGACTCGACCGCCGGTCACTTCGAAGCCTCGTTGCATGGCGAATGACATCCAGTACGTGACGTGAAAACGATGAAAGGCTAAAGTCAACCGGACTTTTCTGTAGTGTCTACTGAGTTGTTTCTTTCTGGGTCGAATATTCTTAAATAATGGGCCTTTTCTTGTGGGCCTCGTCGCACCTGACAGAATTAATTTGAGATTCTCGAACCATCTCAATGTACTGCCATAGAGAAGCGCCGTTGGCGCACTAGCCAACGTAGGTGAACCGGTAGGTTTGGTCTCCAACGAAAGGCTGACGTTTAGATTTTGCGAGCGAAACGCCCTGAACGAGTCGTGTTCCTGATTGCTTGAGTATTCGGGCAATCGATCCGGAGCGCAAGGTATAGCGGCGTGATGATCGCGTGGATCGCCTAGGCATACCCACGCTAGTTTAATGCTCAATCTGACATTAGGCAAATGTAATAATCGGCAATCGTCGTATTTGCTAGCTGTACGCACGTAGACATCGAGATCACCCTTGATGATAATCTTTCCCTGCGTCCAGTCGAGTTCAAGTCCAGTCCATGTGAGTTCCATTTCTTCCGTGGTGTTGTACGGATCCAGAGAACCGTGCAATAGTACCGTCAGCTGTTTTACACAGAGCGTCAGTCTACCGTGAAGAGTCAGCCGCATTTTATCCCAGAATGGTAACGGCGGGCTTGGATCTCTCGATGGATGAAGAATCTTCTCGAAACTGAGATTGCACTGCGCTATCACCGGCTCCCAGCATGGACCGAACGCGTATCTGAATTTGTCAATATCCCAATTAAGATCGTGATAATATTTGAGAGATGTCATTCCTCTTTCTACCACTATGTCCTCCCATGGTGCACCGATCTCGATTCTAACGGTCCTTTTCGCCCTCGATGGTGCTAAAGCTTCCGCTCCAGCAAGCCTACCCCACACATTTAAGTTCTCTACTAGGAGCAGCGGCTGCGGGAAATCGCGAAGTTGAAGTTTCCACTCGGCACATTTCAGGCTGATTCCGCGAACCCACAATGCGCTGAACTCCAGACCATCTTCTGGCCAAGGTGTTTCTGAATCCATCTCTCTCAATGCTTTCACTGCCTTTTCCATACCATTTATAGACGGATCGGCTAAAGCTAATATTTCCAGATCTAACATAGTCCAGGCGAACAATCGAGTTCTCGCGGGACCTGCTCGTTGCATTTGCTTCCATCTCTGCACATAAATCTCCGCATTCTTTTTATTTAAACTAGCATATAATTCCTCGACTTTTCCTTGCGGTAGCAGTAAATGAGCGCGACAAAGTTCCTGCACTTTGGCATCCAACATCGCTTGTCGTTTTAAACTCTCCTTGTACTCGTCCTCCAGCAATTCGTAATTGTCGCGTAAACGTACTTCAAATGGATCATCGCTCAACTCGAACGTCCATTCCTTGATTTTAATGATCAAATCGCAGGGCAAGGACTCCTCCTTGGGTATGCTCGAGGAATGAATCTCTTTCAGCCATTTTCTAATGCTTAGCAACTCATTTTGTATCGCATTTGTGAATTGATGCTTATACGGAAAACAAATTTTGATGGAATCGATATTGAGTGCCCAGCATTCGTTCCAATCCAATACGAAACCTTCGTTGCTTTGTCTTTCCGCTCGCATTTCCGCATTATCAGCTATTCTGATCAATTCAAAACCTTCGATCATAATTATATCAGCCATGTCCAGGGTAACTCGAACATAGGTAAATCTCCATTCGCCCTGCGACCAACGCAACTGATCGGACGTTAATATTAAGAAATGTTTAGTAGAAATATCTATAGAGACAGTGATTCCACCTGTAGCTAGTAAATCTATAATACGTTTTTTCTTTTGCACTTCTGGAAAAATAAAGTAAATTTTTATTTATTTATTTTTATTTTTAGTTATTTATTATTTTGTATCAAGATATTTTTCATGTTAAATAATTGTTTATTATATAATTAATTCATTAATAACATTAATTTAATATCATGACTTTTTATTACCTTCAATACGAGTCGCGCTCATTTCATTCCTGACAATAGATCTGAAATCTTCAGATTCCACCCAAAATTGTAATAAGCGAAGATGTAAATTAGGACTCCATGCTAAATTGGTACCGTCAAGACTAACGTTCACGGCGTCAGAACTAATTGCGGCTTTGCATTTTCGTATCGCCAGAAATGGATGCGTCAAAGCTTGCGCGTGTTGACACATAATTGGCTCATTCTTATTGAGAGTTATGGCACTCATACCTTCGGCCACGCCTATGAATCGTTTTGCGTTTCGTTCCATGGTAGCTACGTCCAAACGCATCATTATAGATACTGAAACAAAAGTACATTGTATCGTAAAAAATTTCTATACGAGTGGTGTGACAACATCAAATTTAACTTACGCTCATTTTTCGCGATGAAGAATAGATTGCAGTTCGTTACTTTAAGATTCAATTGAATAGAATTGCGTAATATCATATCTCTCTTTTTAACCGTTGGCTGTTGATACTTTTTGTAATACCTATAATTATTTTTGATATAATTTATTTTTTTCTTATTATTATTGTTAACTTAAATAATTCTTGTATAAAATCTGATTTCTTATTATTACTTGTAAGCTTGTTCGAGAAATTTCGCAAGTTCTAAACTCCATTCTGTTACAAGAGCATCAACCGCAATTCCTATGGCATTACTACGGGTTGTCGCTAACAATACTCCTACAGAAAGAGGACTGCCCCATTGATGAGAAGTTTCGGAGATATTGCTATTGACGCCATTTAATGCACAATATAGAGATTCGACGACCAATTCTGTATTTAGATTTTCAGTTTTATCTATTACAAAAAGATCGCGAAGAAATTAACGACAATCAGCTTATGATTTCAATAAGAGAAGAAAAGAATACAGCGCGTCTACCTGTAGACGAATTCAAGGCAAATTTCATATGTGCGACACCGCATGATGCTTCTTGCACATCTGGTAATTTTATGTTTAACGAAGAATCATACAACTCGGTATTTAATGTTATTTCAAAATGTGGTAATCTATTTTTCAGCGATATGTTGCTAACAGGTTTTGAAATATCATTTTCATTATTATAAAGCAACGATTCCCAGTCCCTGTGATCGTATATTATCGAAAGATTATTTAGTTGCACATCAATGCATAAAATATTTTCCTCCATCTGTACAAAATTGATGAACATGAACAAATAAGAAAACTTTCTCTTGTTCATTTACATCCACTAGTGTGCTCTTAATACTTACTTTTGTATCAATTGACAGAGAATGTAGAGTTAAAATAGGAAGCTTTCCGCGTATGCACAAACCATCTAGGCTCACAGTAAAATTCAACTGCGTCCTATTAGCTTGAAATTTTGCATGAACTTGAAGACTTTTTAAGGTACCCTCCAAACCCACCATGTTGCTATCCTCTCTACCAGCTATTATTAATGAATTACCGATCTTCAATGTAAAATCCTGTAAGTATTGTTTGATCATTTGTGTAAAGAAATAAAAATAGCAATATTTGTTATCATTGGTTCTCTCTATTTTTATTAATTATTACAATTAGGAGACTTACCTTTGGTAAAATAGGCGCTATTCTAGTCATGAGATTATTGGAGGAGTTACTATGTACATTACTGCATGTATAAGTTGTAGTATTTAGGGAACTTCTATCTCTCAAAAACCGAATAAGACCTGCACCACCGGATCCTTCAGTTTGCGTTATTCCAATACATAATGTCTATAAATCAGATCCCACTTGATTCCTTTTGAAAACGGTCGATAATCAGATTTATTTATTAAATATCTATTTAGTATCTCTTTAGGCTTATAACAGATTTTAACAGACATATAATTTTAATAACAAAAGATCATATTTTTTCCTTTATGAATTTAAGTATTGTCGCAACAAATTTTTGATGCTATATACCTCAACCGAAAGTTCTCCTTGAGCTTTGAACGTAGCTTCTACTGTTCCAGCAAATGTTATTTGAGAGAGACATGCATCCGAAGCATGTCGCAATAGTTTCATAGTTCCTCCGACAATAGACGCTGATGCTAATAACGTACGTGCACCATGTACAATACTGCCATCCAGGCTTAAGCTTTCTGCATTTCCATTAGCCAACCAGCCATTGCCCAGAGCTAGTAGACTTATGTTTTCTACATGTACAGCTGTAAACTAAATATATGTATTAATATATATATGTATATATATGTATATATATATAATATATATATGTAATTGCTGCAATTTTATAATTCAAAAGCATACGACAGTCCAAAACTTTAGTTTAGCGTATACCTGCACACATTTTATTATAATTGGAGGTATTTTTTTGTTTCTAAAATCCAATAGTTTATTGGAGTGTTGTATCTGATACGTCGAATCAACTGGAACATCTTTATTTATTCTGACATCTCTCATAACGACAACTAATAGTTTTGCGACATCGCTACTAAGTAAACTGCTGCGTATGCTTATCTCTTCAATTTGCTAAAATTAAATATTGCTTTTATCATATCCTATTACTACATAATACTCATATAATAAAGAAAAATTTACCAATGTGAAACCGTTTTTAGTTACATTAACATCACGGAAGATAAAATAAGGTACAGATATATGACCTACTCGCAAGTGGATTTTATAACGACGTTTCACTATCCATGCTAATAGTTTTGGTACCACTCTGTTGAACAGACAATTGTATATATAACTATCTTTTGTATCTATTTCAAGTTAGCATTATTTTTATGTAAATTTCTACACTTACCGGGTAAAAAAACAGTAAAGGAGTAAAAAGATTATGCAGAATGCAAGTAATCCAGTCATACTTTTGATATATACAAGTTGTTTCTTAACTCTATGTCTTAAAAATATATTTAATTTCCGAAATAATATTATAAATCGATATAGTTAGACACATTTCACGCGCTAACATATTATCTTTTTTCACAATATTTGTATATTTATAATTAGAGAGACTTATACAAGTACATATTTCAAAGAATGACATAAGCATCTGCGCGCCACTAACTTTGGTGATACTTTTCCTAATCTTTTTATTAACTACGCTGATAATACAGTAAACCTTGAGTCTGCATTATAAGAGAATATTGGCAATATAGTGAAGCATCGGTAAGTAACGTCACAGGTTCATAGTCTGTAAATTCTCTTTTATCGATAAAAGTGCCTAAAAAGTAGTTCACAGGCTACGTTTCGAAATTCACTGCCAGTACTGAAAATCTATAATATACGTGATCTGAACTATATATTTTCAGTACTGACAGTGAATATCGAAATGCAGCTACAGCCAATTCAATAAAAGTGGATTCAGAATATGGATCACAGGCCCATACGTTCAGCGAAGCACGATCAGTAAACGGTCAATAATTATTGGTCTTTACCGTTACATTCTTGAATTATGTTGATAAATTATTCGCTATGTTCGCCGAATACAATCATTAGACATCGGGTTAATCACACTACGCCTTTCTATTATATTTTCAATATATTCCATATATATATATATATATATATATATATATATATTACACACACACACACACACACACACACACACACACACA